TGGCTGCATTGGGTCTTCGCTGCTGCACGTGAGCTTTCTCTAGTTGTGGAGAGCAGGGGCTACTCTTGGTTGCGATGCGTGGGCTTCTCACTGCGGTGGCTTCTCTTGTTGCGGAGCACGGGCTCTAGGTACACAGGCTTCAGTAGTTGTGGCATGTGGGCTCAGTAGTTGTGGCTCGTGGGCTCTAGAGCGCAGGCTCAGTAGTTGTGGCACACGGGCTTAGTTGCTCCATGGCATGTGGGATCTTCCTGGACCAGGGCTCGAACCCGTGTCGCCTGTGTTGGCAGGCAGATGCTTAACCACTGCGCCACCAGGGAAGTCCCAAAAGACATTGTTAAGAAAATGAAAAGACAGGCCAGGGGAATGGGAGAAAATATTTACAAATAATATCTGATGAAGGACTTGTGCCCAGACCTCTGTAGGACTCTCAAGACTCAGTGATAAGAAAACAAACATCCCGATAAAAAATGGGCCAATTATTTGAATAGATGCTTCATCAGATAAGGCATATGGATGGTAAATTAGTTCAGCATCATTAACCATTAGAAAAATGTTAAGTCCACCATGAGATACCGCAGCACACCTATTATAATGCACGTCTAGAAGATAAAGGCTGGCCATCCCAGGTGTTTGGGAGGATGTGGAGCAATGGGAGCTCACACACTGCTGGTGTGAATGCAGATGATCCAACCACTGTGGAAAACAATTCAGCAATTTTTTTTGAAAGCTCACCATACAACTGCCTTATCATCCAGCCACTCCCTCCTGGGTGTTTACCTGAGAGAAATGGAAGCCTCTCCACCCAGGGGCTTACACACAGATATACCCGCAACACAAACTGGGAGCAGCCTGCATTCACTAATAGGTGAATGGAAAAACAGCTATAGTTCTGAGCGAACAGGTGGTACTGAGTGCGAGAAACCAGAAAAGAGCACTACTGCGTGACTCTATTTATGTGAAATCCTGGAAAATGCAAGCTAACTTATTTGTGATAGAAAGCAAATCAGGGAATTTCTTGGTGGTCCAGTGGTTAGGACTCCGCACTCTCACTGCCAAAGGCCTGGGTTCGATCCCTAGTTGGGGAACTAAGATCCCGCAAGCCACTGGGCCAAAAAAAGCAAATCAGCAACTGCCTGGGGAGGGAGACAGGGAGCTCGCCAAGGGGGACAGACAGGGGCATGAGGAAGCTGGGGAGGGGGCTAGTTCAGGGGTTTGTACGCTGGTCACGTTCATCACACTTTAAATATGTACCGTGTATTGCATGTCAATCATAGTCAACAAAGCTGTAAGAAAGTCATTTGAGTTGCCCTTTACACAACCAAGAGGAGATGTCAGTGGGCAGCCAGGTCTGTGGTCTGGAGCTTGGGGGCAATTAGGAATGAGTGGTCAGTGCTGATGGGCTCCTGGGTGGGAGGGTCCGTGGAGCAGGGCTCTGGAGCACCTAACACTGGGGGTCAGGGTGGAGCAAAGCTGGAGGTCACTGAGTATCTGTGTCCCCCATTCCTGTATCAAAGCCCTGCCCCCCCCAATGTGATGGGATTGGGAGGTGGGGCCTTTGAGAGTCACTAGGGTCAGCTGAGGCCGTGAGGGTGGGGCCCCGTGATGAGCTGAGTAGCACAGACGCTGGAGCTCTCGCTGCCACGTGGGGACCTGGGGAGAAGGCCGCCTGCAGGCTGGGAAGAGGCCCCACCAGACCGGACCCTGAGCTGTAGCATGAGCCGCCATCCGCGACGTCAATCTCAGCAGCGCCGGCAGAATGAAGCCTCACAGGTGAGCCGAGCCCGTGTGTATTAACCAAACATTCGGCTCGGAGGCCTGGGAGCTGAGTGTGTGTTGGTCATTAGAATCAGTGGGTAGTAGGAGCACACGGTGGTCACGTGACGAAGCCAAGGCGGCCAGACGCAGCGCCCGTGATCGCAGGTGTGGGTGTGGGTGGGGGTGGCTGTAGCCAGCCCCGCTTGGGGACCTCAGCCCTCCTCCGGGGGGGACTTGCCCGAGCCGCCCCCGCCCCCTGAGGCTGCAGCGCCGCTGGGTGTGGGAGCTCGTGTGCTGGGCTGAGGAGGGTGTGGGCATCCCCTGCCCTGTGCCCCTGATCAGAGTGGAAGTGAGCCGACTTAGGTACCCGGCGTCTTCAATTCCAGCACATTCCTCTCATGGGTAGTGGGCTAGCCCTTGGGGCCGCCTGCCCAGGGCAGTGGGAGTGGGGTGTGTGTGTGCGTGTGTGCGTGTGTGCGTGTGCAGGGGGCTTGTTGGGGTTGAAGGCTCTGTGCCCGGAGCCTGGGGCCAAGAGAGGCAGGGTGTCTAGAGCTCCCTGGGAACCCCTTCCCTCCTGGGGGCTGCCATGCTTCTCCCTCCCTGCCTTGGACCCTGACCCAGACGTCAGAGCGGGCAGTGCAGCCAAGAGGAGGAAAGGGAGCCTGGTGCCCAGATCCTTCATGCCCCCCAAGTGTCAAGGGAGAGAGCCCTGTGTTCTGGTCTCTAGCTGTCGGCAGAACCTCCGTGGCCCAGGCCAGGGGTAGTGGCTGCTGGCAGGGCAAATCCCAGAGAAGCCAGGAGCCGCTCTCGGCCCCTTGGTGGGCTGGCTGGACTGGCCTGAGCCCGTGGGGCAGTGGAGGCAGAATTGTGACCAAGCCAGGGAACTGGCCCTGGAGTCCTGCTGACCTGCCTGATACTCTGGGGCCTGGCCATGTTTCACATGTGGGGGACAGGAGGTCTGCCCTGGCCACTTGGACATGTGATGTGAGTGCAGTGAGTGACCCAAACGGGCCATTCGTGGAAGAAAGGTTGGTTTTCTTCTAAGACAGTTTTGGTCAAGATTTCTTGTAATGAGTCGCTGGGATTTTAGAGGCGGGATATGATCATTAAGCCTAGGCCACTTTCTCCCTAGGGCTCCACGGCGTCCCCTGGCCAACTGGTCAGTGGCCAGTCTGGACAGAACCTGGGCCCCCTGCTCTGCCGCAGGATGAGGAAGGGGGACCCAGTGGCAGCCTCGAGGGGACGGACAGTGGCACCTGTGTACAGAGGGCGGCCGAGGGACTCACTGCCCGCTGGGCCCCCTACACGCTACACTTCACACACCAGGTTAAAACATGGGATTCGTTCACGTACACATAATTCAGTTTAAACGGTGACTAGAACTGATGACTGGCAAATTTCTAGAAGGGTTGTTAAGACCCTCACAAGTTCTGTCTTGCTGGAAACCACATTTAAAACTCGGAACCCGTGGGCTTCCCTGGTGGCACAGTGGTTGAGAGTCCGCCTGCCGATGCAGGGAACGCGGGTTTGTGCCCCGGTCCGGGAAGATCCCACATGCCGCGGAGTGGCTGGGCCCGTGAGCCATGGCCGCTGAGCCTGCGCATCTGGAGCCTGTGCTCCGCAACGGGAGAGGCCACAGCAGTGAGAGGCCCACGTACCGCAAAAACAAACAAACAAACAAACATACAAAAAACTCGGAACCCGCATGTAGGTAGCTGCTCCACTTCCTAACCTCACAGAGGGGTGTGAGGGACTCCACTGTGCCTTCGAGCAGCGCCCACGTCAATCACCAACGTCCTCATCACCACTCCAGCCTCGTTTCTTCTCTGTCGCCAGAGAGAAAATTCCACAAATGTGTTTCCCCACATTTGTGGTCGGTGAGGCTCCAGAGTGAGCAGAGAACTCGAGAGACGAGGACTTCTGGGGGGCCCTTCGGGGCTTACTGCCCTGGAGGCCCCAGTGCACAGAGGCAGCTACAAAGCTGGTATCCCCTTGGCAGCCCTGTCTCCTCTGGTCAGTCTTCACGTTGGACGTTGTGACGGCCTGGAGAGGTGGCGGGTTGCTCTGTGTGTGTGTGTTTATGTGTCTGTGTGTGTGTGGGTGTGCCTGTGTGTTTGTCTATACGTATCTATGGGGTTAGGAATGTGTGTGCCTCCGATTTTTTTTACACAGTTGTCCCCTCTGAGGCATCATTAAGCCTGGAAAAACCATTTAAATAAAAAATGTTTAAGAAAAATTAAAGTAAAACGAACTTTTTCCTTTTTGGTGTACAGTTTTGTGAGTTTTAGCACATATTTGTGTAACCACTACAGCCCAGCTTTGTTTTGTGTAAAATGGTGCTAAATGTTTGGACCTCACCCTCATTAATGTTCCCCAGCTTTAAAAGAAGCCCAGTGACCTGTGTGACGAGGTTGCATTCGCTCACGGCAAAACTCAGGCTCAGGTCACACCTGTGGCTCAGATGCAGAAGCCACTTGGGGCGCCGAGTGAGCTGGTGGTGGAATCATCTTGAAGCAAAAGTGCTGAAGAGATGCTTGCTCAGGGCTGAGCGAGCTTGGCGGGTGTGGGCTGCATGCGAGGGGTGACCTGTCCTGAGTGACCGTTTGCTGCTGGACGTTCACCAGCCACGTCCAAATACAGAAGAAACTTCCCAGGCACAGAGGGATGCAGGTCTGTCCATCCTGCTCTGTTCCAGCTCAGCTTCCGGCCTCTGGCTCCCTGTCTCCGCAGTGCGCTCACAGCCTCTCACTGTCAGTGATTGGGGTCCAGGACAGACCGAACGTCCGCCAGGTTCTCCCAGAGTCAATGGTGCATGTGCAGATTTTATAACATAGTAGAAATAAAGTAAGACTGCAGAGCCCCCGAGCCCAGCTGCCCACCAATCATGCTGGACATGGTGAAGAAAGCCCCACATAGTTGACATGCAACGCCTCGTCGCCGCTCTTCATTTTAGATGCTTGTTTTCGTTAACTGGCTCAAGCAGTGATTAGAGCACGGCCCTCCGAGAACCTGGGTGGTTCATCAGCCGCAGAATAGGACCTGGTGGGGGACTTTGAGCCCATCTGTCAGCCTTGGGAGCTGGACACCACTGACTTGGCTCTAAAGCCCCTTGAACCTTTGTACCGACAGGGAAGGGATGTGCACATTTGCTTGTCACCTTCTGAGTGACTTTGTGGGAAATAACCTGTGGGTTGTGTGATGAGCTGTTTTTCTCTGTTAATTGTGTCCATACTAATTGCTTCCAGGTGTTTACCTCCAATGGCCCCACCGTGATCATGCCCACCTGGTTCTGCTCCCGAGCCTGGTTCTCCCACGTGGGCCCATTTGACGAGGGCGGGCGGGTAAGTGCGAGTCCCGTGGATTCCTCCTCTGGGCCGGGCCGGGCCGGGCCGGGCTGAACTGAACCGCCGTCCCCCGTGAGGGCCTTCGCAGCGCTTCCTGCTTCCCGGGCTGGGCGTGCTGAGCCTCCCAGGGTGCAGCCGGGGCACCGCTCGGCCTGTGTTGTGCGGGAAGCAGGGGATTTCTATGTGAAGGCTGTGGGCGCCGGGCGTCTGCTCCTGGCTCACACCTGCCCGGCCCTGGTTGCCTCATCCTGGTTTAAGAGCTGTTTGTGGGAAAGCACAGGAGGTGGGCAGTGTCATCCTGCCACCCCTGGACGACAGCAGGAGAGCTCCCCAGTTCTCCCGTGGCCGGTGGACCTGGGGTGTTCGGGTCCAAGCTGGCCTGGCTCCTTCGTCTGCACCCTCACCTACCTGTGGGGCCTCACCTGCAGAGCGGGGCCCACGCTGGTCTCCAGGCTCCGGCCTAGAAATGGGGACGCGACGCTGACCTGCTCCCCTCCCACTCCGACAGTCTTAAGAGTGAGCGCTCCGACACCGATCAGAAGGTAAATCTGAGGGTTAGTTTGTTTTCCCTTAACCGCCCCCCCTTAAATTGGCTTTGAGATTGTGAGTTCTGGTCCTCGTGGTGGAAGGGGTGGGCCAGGCATGTTAAGGCCCATCAGGCCGGAAGGTGGGGGTAACTCAGGCCCAGGCTCACCGTCTGCCCCAGAACCCTGGCCACGGTCCTGCCTGCTCTGAATGTCCTCTCCACTTCGGGGAGACCTTCACTGACTGCACAGGGGCCGGTTGGAGCCAACCCCCTCCCTGCTCCTACCCGGCATTCCCCTGCCCACTCCCCTGCCCGTCACGCACACAGTCTCATTTTGGAGGGAGAGGCTGGCTCCCCCACTGCCCCCTGCACTGGACCCTGGCCGGACGGTCCCTCATGGCCGCCCAGACGTGCCCTTCAGGAGCAGTGCTGGTCTCAGGTTTACAAACCAGGGACTCGAGGGGAGCATAGTGCCCTGAGGGCTGGACTTAGGTTTGGGGACTGGTCTTCAGCTGGTTCCCCAGGCCCAAGAGGCTGCAGTTCTTGCCTATGGAGAGAAGGGCAGGGAACCGAAGCAGCCGGGACAGTCGAGGTGCTAAAGGACGCAGAGCAGGATGGTGGCGAGACTCGAGGGTGAGGGTGGCTGAGCAGTCATGGACACAGCAGCCATAAGCTGGAACCTGCAAGGTGCACAGGTTTTAAATTGGGGAAAATGCACTCGCAGAGGCAAGGTGGGGGAGGGGAGTCGGCGATTTGGAGGAGGGCGCCATTCGGCGCAGGACAGCATCCAGCTGAGGGGTCTGGATGTCCCCAGGAGGCAACCGTTTCATGCAGAAGTGCTTTTGCATCTGTTGGAAAGATTCCCAGGCTCGGAGTCGCTGTGTGAGTTACGAGCTGTCTCCTCCTCTCCAGAGGGTGTACCCCAGGCTCCTTTGCATTTTAGCCATTCTGATTGCAGTTCTGTAGTTTCTTGTTGTATTTTAATTTGCATTTCTGAGATGACTTATGATGTTGAGCAATTTTTCATGCACCGATTGGCTACTTGTATGTTATTTTATGAAGCGTCCAGATCTTTTGCCCAGTTTTAAGCGGGGTGTCTTCTTATTGTTGAGTTGTTGGTGTTCTTGGTCAGATACTTGCTTGTGGGTATTTTCTCCTATCCTGGGTCTCAGCGTTCTGGGATTTCCTCTCACTCCCACTTGTGCTCGTCCCAGATTCTATCCTGAGGATGTCAGAGCAGCGAGGCTGGGGCTCCCACCCCTGTTTTGTGGGTTTTATCTCCCCGCCCCGGGGCTTCCCACTCTGGGCATGGGGCTCACAGATGCCGTAGAGGTTGGCCACTCAGCCACCCAGAGCCAGAAGTCAGCACCTTCTCTTGTGCATTAAAAACCTCTCTTGGTATCAGAGAAGGTCTGTATTTTGTCATCTTTGTATTTATCTCTCTTTAAATGCCCTTGGTCCCAAGTGCTCTGCTTAAACCTTTCCTGGTTGGCTTTTTGTTTTTCGGTTTTTGAAGGTATTTTGACTCCCACCTGTTGCCTGAACAGCAGCCAGTAGATCACCTGTTCCCTCTTTCTTTTCTCCTCCTGTTTTGTTACGTGATTTCCGTTCTCGTCAGAAGGCAACCCCGTGTGCTGAGTCCCCAGCCGCCCGTCTCTGTCCCTGGACTCAGCCTCACATGTCAGGCTGTCCGGGCCTCGGCGTTCCTTGAGTTCCTGCACATTCAGACTGTGGTTCTGGACGTGTGAAGGAGGTATGGGCTGGACAGAAAACCCTGAGTCACACCTTCCCTTGCATGTCTTGACAACACAGCTCCCTGTTGCCTTGCTTTGCCTGACGCTCCTTCGATTCGCTCGGCTTTGTAAGGTGCTTGACCTTTTCCTGGAGGCTCTGAGAATTCCTCCCTTGTTAAAGACTCATGGTTTCACTGGGATTGGTCTTAATGCGGACCTGATTCCGATGTGTGGAACCAGAGTTCTCCTTCATGGTTTTTGTTGTTGTTGTTATTTGGGGTGAATTTCTGTCCACGGAAGTGTCTGTCTTCTGTTTCTTCTCACACGGGCTTTAGCTGCGGTTCATGGGATTCCTACCTCAGGGTCGCCCCCTCTGTCACCCCAGGGGAGTGCAGCGGGTGTTGAGGGCAGGGAGGGGAGGAGGGTGTGTCTCTCCTTTGTTTCCTTTTGTCCCACGGGGTCCTAATCCCCTTTCACCACATCTCTGAGGGCGCCTACCCATCCAACCGCGTTCTCACACCCCAGAGGCCCCAGGGTTCCCGGTGATCCCCCAGGTCTGCCCAGGCCCCCATCTCCACGGGGGACTGGGGCTCAGCAACCCATCTTCCTCGACGTCACCTCTGCATCCCATCGCGGCCTCTGTCGCTGTTTGCGGTCGGTCAGCGGTGCCCAGGCTCTTGTGAATCGGGGGTGGGGGGGTGCCCTCCAGCCACGCCCCAGGCACCTCCTCTGGCTAAATTCTCCCTTGTCTCTTTGCCAGAAATAAGGGAACTCTGGGGTTGAGGTCCTCTTGGTCATGAGAAGAGAGGACATTTTCTCTCCTTCCTAAATCTATAAAGCACAGAGTCACAATGTGCTCTTGAAAGGTGACTCTGAAAATGCAGAAAATTAGAAAAAGGAAAAACTACACAAATGACCCGTGAACCCATCACCACACATCTGCTGTGAACTTTTGTGTGGGGTCCTTTTGTCTTCCTTTTACTGTGGACCACTTTTAGCCAAGCTGCAAACACAATTTTGAAACTTGATTTTAACTTAACATTTTGTTATAAATCTTTTCATGTCGTTGTGGTCTTTGTGAAGACACTTCAGTCACCACACAGTAGTCCATCGAGTCACTGACTGACTCAACCGCCCGACGCCGCAAGTGAAGGTGGTTCGCGTGTTTCCGTGTTGCTCACGAGACTGTGCCGATTTCCTACTCGGCTGGCTTCCGTCGCGTTGCCCTGACGGCCTTGCGGTGTGTCAGGGACCCTGTCAGGGACCCCGGGCAGCGATTCCTTGAGCAGTGGTGGCTTTGTTCAGAGACGGAGGCGGGCAGGCTGGCGCCCAGTGTGGCAGCTCAGGAGTGAGAGCTGAGCGGGCTGCTTCCAGGGATGGCGCTCAGGCCCGAGCCAGGAGGCAGCGGAACTCGCGCCTGGGCGACCACAGACAAAAAGCATCAGTTCATCACAGACCCCAGAGGCCAGGTGCACAGGGCCCAGTCAGGGGATACGCTCGGGCCAAGAAGCTGGCCAAGAGGGGCCAGCGGTCCCATCTCCCCCCGAGGATGACGGCCACCAGGCTCCATCAGGACATCGAGACCTCAGAGGCCAGCTGTGCCGCCTTCCTCTCAGGGTGGACGAGCTGGGGGGCAGCCATGGCTTTACTGGAAGCAGTGGGCCCGGCCGTGGTGCTGGCATTGGCTCCGTGAAACCGAGCTCGGGCTGGGGAGCCGGCGGAGGAGGACAGGCTGGGGCCAGAGAGCAGCAGCCTCTGGGCTGTCAGGAAACCAGCCTCTGCCCGGAGCAGGGGTCTTGGCAGTGTCCCCAGCCGTTGCTGGGCTCTGCTCACCAGACACACCCTGGGTGACCTCCTATCCAGACCCCCTGCTCACTTGGTTTTCACCTTGAATTTAAGAAAGTGAGGGGAGCCAACTTGGTGTCCCCACCAGGACTGAGATCCCCCAGACTGACCAGCAGGGTGGCTGTGATCCCAACGGCCAGCCCTGGTCTGTGCTTCTCCAGGAGGGGGCGGGAGGCCTGGGTTCTCACAGGATGGGAACACCCAGCGGGATACTGCAGACCCTCGGAGCAGCAAGCCCATCAACAGGGAGGGGGCAGGTCAGCGGGCCAGCAGCGCGGGCCAGGGGTCAAGTTTGAGGCTGTGAGTGAGGGTGACACTGGGGCTTTGGTCCACCCCTAGGGCACCTTCTTGTCCTGAAGGCGCCTCTTGTGGTCACGCTTGCCCAGTGCCGGCCACAAGGTGGGGGAGCTGGACGTGTTGTTTTCCCGCTGAGGCCTCACGGGTCAGGCCAGGCTCAAGCGGCTGCGGTGCCGGGCGGATCCACGTCTCCCGTCGCCTGAATGAGGCTCTGTCGTGAGTGGAGACACGTTTCTTTCATCCCGCAGGGCGTCCCTGAGGACTTGCTGTTCTTCCACGAACACCTGAGGAAGGGCGGCGGGCTCCTCCGCGTGGACCAGAGCCTGCTTCTCTACCGCTACCACCCCGGCGCGGCCACACACTCCATCCTCGAGTACGCAAGTCTGGGGGGCCAGACCGGGCGGGATCAGTGGGGCAGACACAGGTGACCCAGTCAGGTCGCAAGGCAGGAAACCTGGGAGCGTGGCCGGCGCGGAGCATGCGGCCTGCCGGGAGGGACGTTGTCCTAGGTCCATGGACCAGCATTACCCCAGGATCAAGGCCAAATGTCTGTTCTCACTTTTTTGAAGGGAGATAGGATTCACATGTAGTTGTTCTCTTGGGGTTTTGTTCTCACTTGCTTTGAGTTGACGGGATTCTCAGAGTGAGCCCAGCCCCCAGCTAACGTGATTACAGGTGGGCCGGGGGCACCCTCTTCCTTCTCCGCCCACCAAGGGGAGAGCTACTGGGACCGAGGTTGGGCCGCTCCCTCTGTGGGGCATCACAAGGACACTAGCCCCCTCCCTCTCATGGCCCCCACGTCCCCCAGGCCCCAAGGCTAGAGGCCGACTACCAGGGACAGGGCAGGGATGGTGCCGAAAGCACAGGCAGGGTGAAGGCAAGGGAGGGCTGTGCTTTTCTTTCTGTAGTTTGAACTGCTTGTGCGTGTGTGTGTCTGTGTGTGCACGTTTGTGCATGCGTGTGGGTGTTAACATTTCAAACACCTACAAGTATGTATCCCCCTTGCTACCATAATGCTGCTCTCTTGGGGACAGGGAGGAATGGGGCCCTGAAACAGGTGTACGATCAGGGGATCTTTTGATTGTAAAGAGCATGATGCAGGGACATGCATTTGTGTTTCTGGAAGTAGAAGAGACTCTGTTCTTCCCCTGGAGGGTGTGAGACTCGTTGGAAGGCGTGGCTTCTCAGTTTCTGTCCTGGGAGGTCTCCTGTCCACTGTCACAATGGGTGTGATGTGCACTGTCACAGTGGGTGTGATGTGCACTGTCACAGTGGGTGTGATGCTGATTTGGGCATGTGTCGTCGGTGGGGGGGGGGGTGTCCCAGATTGCAGCATCCATATAGTCTATTTATTTATTTATTTATTTATTTATTTATTTTTGGCTGCCTTGCGTCTTCGTTGCTGGGCGCGGGCTTTCTCTAGTTGCAGTGAGCAGGGGCTACTCTTCGTTGCGGTGTGCGGGCTTCTCATTGTGGTGGCTTCTCTTGTTGCAGAGCAGGGGCTCTAGGCGTGCGTGCTTCAGTAGTTGTGGCACGCGGGCTCAGTAGTTGTGCCTCAAAGACTCTAGAGCGCAGGCTCAGCAGTTGTGGCACACGGACTTAGTTGCTCCGTGGCATGTGGGATCTTCCCGGACCAGGGCTCGAACCCATGTTCCCTGCATTGGCAGTCGGATTCCTCACCACTGCACCACCAGGGAAGCCCCCAGCATCCATATTGACTTGGAAGATCCTTGAACTTTTGCACATGTGCTATTCAACACTAAAACTTAGCTTCTTTGTTTTCCAGCTTTAAGCAAAAGAGGTTGATTTCTCTTCTGTTAAGTCTGAATTTTCATACAGTAGATTTAGTGGAGCATCATTGGGAGTTTGTTGTCATGAACTTGACTCAATGCAAGTGTGATTTGCACACATGGGGTAAAGGTCATTTTCTAGGGGGACATAACAATCCTAAATGTGTATATTCCTAATCCCAGAGTTTCAAAATACATGAGGCAAAAACTGAGATTGGAGTTGGAGATTTTAACACTCCTATCTGAATAACTGATAGAAGTTGGGGGGTGGGGAAGTCTGTGAGGATCAGAAGGTTTGAACAACACTATTAACCAACATGACAGTAGACATTTAAGGAACACTATAGTCAACTGCAGAATACGCATTCTTTTAAGATAGACATTACTTTGGACCAACAAACAAATCTGAATAAATTTCAAATGATTGAAAGCATACGGGTTATGTTTTATAAATTAGAAATCATTAAGACATCTTTTTTTCTTTTTTTTGGCTGCGTTAGGTCTTTGGCTGTGTGCGGGCTTTCTCTAGTTTTGTGGCAAGCGGGAGCTACTCTTCGTTGCGGTGGACAGGCTTCTCGTTGCAGTGGCTTCTCTTGTTGTAGAGCACGGGCTCTAGGTGCACGGGCTTTGGTAGTTGTGGCTTGCGGGCTCTAGAGTGCAGGCTCAGTAGTTGTGGCACATGGGCTTAGCTGCTTCATGGCATGTGGGATCTTCCCGGACCAGGGCTTAAACCTGTGTCCCCTGCATTGGCAGGCAGATTCTTAATCACTGCACCACCAGGGAAGTCCTAAGACATCTTGAATATACAAAATATTTGGAAATTAAGCAACCAACGGAAAAAATCACAAAGGATATTAGGGAAAAAATTTAATTTGATGACAAAACAGTATGTCAAAATTTGTGGAATTTAGCTAAAGCAGAGTTTATAATAAGTTTTTATAGCTTTAAAAGCTTATATTATAAAAGAAGAAACTAAGCAATTATCTAAGTCTCCACCTTTAAAGGTTTCAAAAGTAATAGCAAAGTAAACTCAAAGTAAATAGAAGGAAAGGAATGGAGGTAAAATTGAAAATGGACAGTCAGTAGAAAAAAAATCAGCAAAACCAAGAATTGGCTTGAAATAAAATCAGTACAATTGACAGACCTCTAACAAGATTGATTTTTAAAAGAAAACACAGGTTACCAATATACTGGGAATTAAAGAGGGGACATCATTACAGATCCAATAGATATTTAAAGTATAAATAATAGAGAATTCCCTGGTGGTATAGTGGTTGGGACTCCGTGCTTCCACTGCAGGGGGTTTAGGTTCAATCCCTGGCTGGGGAACTAATATATCCTGCATGCCCTGCATGTGGCCAAAAAAAAAAAGGTATAAATAATAATTAAAAAATTAATTAGTAATTTAAAAGCTTTTCATAAAGAAAAGCCAAGCCAGATGGCTTTACTGATATATTCTATCAAAAATGTAAGGAAGAAATAATACCAATCTAACATAAATTCTTTCGGGAAATAGAAGAGGAGAAAGGTCTGTTGGGTGTTGGGAGGGAGGAGCTTCACACTCCGTGAGACCAGCATGACTCTGAAGTAAAACATGCTCTAAGAATATTACAGGAAAATAAAATTACAGACAAATATCCCTTATGAAAATAGTTGCAAAAATCATTCACAAAATATTACCAAGTCAAACTCAGAAATATATATGAAAGGATAATACATCATGAATACAAGTCTGGTTTAACATTCAGGAATCAATTAGTATGATTTAATACAGTAATGGAATCAAAGATAAAAATCACAGTCAACGCAATAGATGCAAAAAAAGCATTGGGCAAAATTCAATACCCATTCATGATTTTTTTAAAAACTCAGCAAACTAGAAATAGAGTGAAACTTTCTCAGTCTGATAGCATCTACTCAAACCTATAACTAACCTCATACTTAATCATTAAAGACTGAAAGCTTTCCCTTCTAAGATCAGGAGGAAGCGATCTGATCACTCCTCTCACTACAACTATCCCACATTGGAATGGAGGTCAGTGCAATGAGACAGGAAAAAGAAAAAATGTAAGTATTAGAAAGTGGAAGTAAAACTAGCATCATTTGTAGGTGGCATGATTGTGTTTCATAGGAAACCAAAACCAATAACTTAGCAAATTTTCCAGAATACAAGTTTATAGAATTGCAATGAACAACTGAAAAAATGCAGTTTAAAAAATGTACAACGGCGTCAATAATAAAATACTTTTGAGTAAGTTTAGTAAGGTATGTCTATGTCCACTAAAACCTACTCCAGAAAAGGCTGAGGGAAATTAAAGAAAACCTATAAAATAGATGGAGAGATACACCACATTCATGGATTGGAAGACTCAGTGTTGTTAACGTCAGTTCTCTCCAAATTGATCTGTAAATTCAAAGCAATCCCAGTAGAAGTCCCAGGTGGCTTCTTTGTAGAAATTGATCATCTGATTTTAAAATTCGCATGAAAATCAAACGGCCCAGAGTATCCTAAACAATCTTGAAAAGAACAAAATTTTGAGGACTTATTGTGCCTGATTTTAAGACTCACTCTGAAGCTATAGCAATCAAGAAAATGTATTAATAGAATAAAGATAGACATATACATCAATGAAACAGCAGAGAGTCCAGAAATAGACTCACAATTGATTTTTAACAGTCTCCAAAGGCATTCAATGAAAAAAAGAAAATTATTTTTAACAAATGGAACAAATGGATATTCATATGGAAAAAAAATCTCATGCCCTATAGAAAAATTAATTCTAGATGGCTTAGATATAAATATAGAAGCAGCTAAAATATAAAGCTTCTAGAAGAAAACATCAAGGAATATCTTCACAACTTGGGGATAGGAAAAAATTTATTAGAGAGGACACCGGAATCTTTAGCCCTTTTTTTTTTTTTTGGCTGTATAGGGTCTTAGTTGCAGCACATAGGCTCTTCGTTGCGGCATGCGGGCTTCTCTCTAGTTGAGGTGCACAAACTCAGTAGTTGAGGCCCGGGGGCTTAGTTGCCCCGGCATGTAGAATCTTAGTTCCCCGACCAGGGATTGAATCCGCGTCCCCTGCATTGGAAGGCAGATTTTTAACCACTGGACCACCAGGGAAGTCCCTCTTTAGTGCTATAAAATTGATAAATTGGACTTCATCAAGATTAAAAACTTTTGCTCATAAAAAGACACCATTAGGGGCTTCCCTGGTGGCGCAGTGGTTGAGAGTCTGCCTGCCAATGCAGGGGCACGGGTTTGAGCCCTGGTCTGGGAAGATCCCACATGCCACGGAGCAACTAGGCCCATGAGCCACAACTACTGAGCCTGCGCGTCTGGAGCTTGTGCTCCGCAACAAGAGAGGCCGCGACAGTGAGAGGCCCGCGCACTGCGATGAAGAGTGGCCCCCACTTGCCGCAACTAGAGAAAGCCCTCGCACAGAAACGAAGACCCAACACAGCCAAAAAATAATTAATTAATTAATTTTTTAAAAAGACACCATTAGGAAAATGAGTAGACAAACCACAGACTGGGAGAAAATATTCATAATCTATATATCTCACAGAGGGCTAGTATGGGGGAGATATTAAGAACCCCTATCACCCAAAAATAAAATCTAATAAAAGTAGACAAAATAGTTGAACGGACATGACACTTCACAAAGAAGTAATATATAAGGTCAATTAGTCCATTAAAAAGGTTTCATCATTATCAGAGAATGCAAATTAAACTCTGCACACCCACGAGAAGGGTTAAAATTAACGTCTGCAATTCCAAATCATGCTGAGGACACGTATACATTGTTCTCAGGAGTGTAAGCACAGTACATCCTCTTTGGAAAACTGTTGGGCCTTATTTTATTAATTTAATTGATACCTTCCCTATGCCCCAGCAATTCCATGTCTAAGTGTTTCTCCAAGAGAAATTAATAGATTGCTCAACATTTCTCTATTAGTAGCCAGGAATGGGAACAACCCAGATGCCCATCAGCAGGTGATGGATAAACACTGCTGTAATGGAACACTCCTCAGCACTAGAAGAAAACAAACGGCTGATACCTGCAAGAACGGGGATTAATGTCAAAAAAATATATGGTTAGTAAAAGAAATCAGATACAAAAGCATGCATACTGTGGCTTCCACTTGTTCTCAGGGGAAGGAGGTACAAGGGAGCTTTCTGGGGTGGTAGAAGTGTCCCACCTCTTGACAGGGGTGTTGGTTACACGGATATGCATGTTTGTCATAACCGTCTGACTTATGCACACTTAAGATCCTTGCTCTTACTCTGTGTGGATTTCATTAAAATTTTTAAAATATCTGGCAAGTGTTTCTTCAAGGAAGTAACCACTTTCCCACAGTCCATAAACAGAGTCGGAAACTGGGTGAATAAAGTACAAAGATGGTTTTCTGGGCACGAATCTTCTGTAGAGCTCAGAAATGCCGGGACACCTGCCGCTCCTGTGCAGGGCTGAGAAGCGCCGGTACAGCTGGGATCCTGTGCAGGGCTGAGAAGTGCCCAGACAACTAGGATCTCTTCCATTGTTCCTGAAGGTTCACGTACATGTGTCCTCACCTTGAGCTCCTGTGAAGCAAGGCAACGTGAAGGCATGTCTGTGATGACCCTGGTGGTGCCCTGCTCCCCACCCATGGTGTGGCGGGTGCTCATGTATCTGGGGGGCCAGGCAGCCAGCCAGACGGCTTGTGCTACACACACCCTCATTCTGTTTTCATGCGATAATTCTTTTATGTTGAGACTTTTTTTTCCCCTCTTTTTGCAGCGTGAGGCTTTGCCACCCACAACGTAAAAGAGGTGATCTCATGTTAGTTTCTGTGTTGGATTAAAGTCTTTGAGCAGCAAAACCTCACAGAGCAAGGAGCTCTAATTACACCCTCAGGCTTGTCAATAATTGAATTCCTTCAAACTCTCTCTCAAAGAGCCCTCTGTTTGAGAGGCTCCCTGAATCGTGGCCTTTACCCTTTAAATTGAGAATGATCAGCATTTATATCATTTAACAATTTTCACTATGAAATACTTCCGACAGCCAGAGGCATAAGGAATCATCTTTAAAACAAAAAGTTACCCGTTTCCCCAAACCTCCTGCATCTCCCAGGTTCCATTTCGTGGTGTCCTGAGTGGGATGTTTATTTGCCATAAGATCCATTTCTTTATACTTTGACCACACGTGATGTCCTCTAAACAGTGTGCGTTCTCTCTTTAAAAATGTGGTGTCGGTGGCAACGTTCTGCCTCATTCTTCCTGAAGTCACTGTGCTGCTCACCCTCAGGGCTGAGCTCCGTGTGGTGACGTTGCTCCTCTATCTTGGTCACCGCGTGGACCTTCTGCCGTCCTGCTGCTGAGGGTCCACACACGCCACTGCTCCCCGCCCCCACCTCCGGCCTGCTGCCTCCTGGTGCAGTGTGCATCCCTGACACTGCCCTGCTTTCCAGAAGGTTCTGGAAATGCCGACCTGTGGGTCTGAGGAAACCTGTGAGCAGCTCCCACACACCCAGCCCTCGGCAGAGCCTCCTCGCAGGGGTAAGAGTGGCAGGAAGGACACACCTGGGCTGTTCTCCCGAATAAATAACTGAGCAGCACGGTGGAGAAGGGGACCTTCAGGACAGTGGCGGCAGGAAGGGTCTCACTGTCCACAACACGGAGGTATTGGTGGCAGTTTCTGAGTTGTGTCCTCAGACCAGAGACCAGACTCCGGAGGCACAGGGAGGGCGCAAGGCAGGGGCTGTACCCTCAGGACCCACAGTCCCTCCAGATACACTCCGCAAGCGGTGGGAGGTGGGGGTCAGCTCTGTCCCTCCCACAGGCGCCGTTTCCAGGTGAGGCACCCTGCGCTGCTCAGACCCGGCCCGTCACCCCTGCGTCTGGTGGTCACGCTGGTGCGGGCCCCCCACTGTCCTGGTCCCCGAGCATTAAGTGGAGTCCTCGTTGGGCCATTTCATTTCCTTATAAGTGTCCCCAAAACCTTTGGGCATTTTTTTTGGGCAGTTTCATTGAATTCATGAAATTGAAGAGAGTTGACTGGTTAAGGAGAGAAGCAATTAAGTCATAGAAGCGGCCAGACCTTTTGCCAACAAAAGTAATTTAAAAAGTAGGAGCCGGGGCTTCCCTGGTGGCGCAGTGGTTGAGAGTCCGCCTGCCGATGCAGGGGACATGGGTTCGTGCCCCGGTCCGGGAGGATCCCACATGCCGCGGAGCGGCTGGGCCCGTGAGCCACGGCCACTGAGCCTGCGCGTCCAGACCCTGTGCTCTGCAACGGGACAGGCCACAGCAGTGAGAGGCCCACGCACCGCAAAAAAAAAAAAAAAAAGTAGGAGCCGGAGAGGAAACCATGGAGCAGAGGGCGAGACCTGCCCAGATGTCTGTGGTCCCTTATCTCCTGCTGCCCCTGTGATGGTAGGCGCACCCCCCGGGGTCCCAGGCAGGGCCTGGAGCGTGGCGAAGGTCCCGCTGCTGGTGGGGACCCGGGGCCCACCCCATCTCTTCCTTGTTGTCAGCGTCTCATGGGTTTGTCAGAGCTCATATGCAGGAAGTTCAGTTGTTTTGTTCTCAGAATTGTCCTTCGTTCCTTGGATGCTGCCAAAGCTGCGTGTTGAGTGCTGTACCTGATGGTGTCTTATTTGGGCTGGAGTGTGTCTAGCTTGTGCTGAATGGCCCAGACTGGGGAGTTATTCACCTTATTCACCTTCGCAAGCCCCAGTAACCCCCGACCACTGAAATTACGGCTGCTAAGCACAACCCTAATTGAGACATTTCAAGTGGGAGGTGGGTGGACCAACCACAGGAGGAGCCCAGAATTCAGAGCCCACCCCTGGGCAGGCAGACACTGGTGCCCAGTTGCATTAGAGTGGGCATCACTGTGTTGTGTCCATGGACCCCACGCTCTCACCTGGAGGAGCTGCTCCCCTGAGATACCTTGTGGGACCCTCAAAGCTGGTCGCCACGGAGAAGGCAGCAGGGCAGTGGCTGGGGGACCACGGGGACCAGGAAGGAACTGAACCCATACTGTAGAATGTGGGGGAGCTGCAGCAGGTCTGCGCCTGGCCTAGAACAGTAGGTCTTGGGGCTCTGTGAGAGGGTCCACGGAGGGCACTTCCAGGTGTAAACTGTGATTTTATACAAGGGTGTCCCACCCTTCCTTACATCAGAGGTTTCTCTGGAAAGGAAGACCAGGGCCAAGTTTGGTCCACTGTGTACCTGCAGAAGCTCCCCCTTAACCTTCCCGATTCTTAAGTGATGCTTTCACACCTGCGCCTTGGGTCCTGTCCCTGTGTCCAACCACTTTAACCTGGAGACAGCTGACATGCTGTTGTCTCTGGGCACTGGGACTCGGCAGCTGCAGACCCCAAGGGCCGGCCTGGACCTCAGGTCTGCATGTGGCAAGGGGCCAAGGGAGGGGGTCCCACCTGGGGAAGGTGACCCCGCCATCTGCACAGCTTCCACAGGACACTGTGGCCCCTTCCATGTGGCCGCTCGAGGTGGGGAGTCACGTCCAGGCCCCTCTGGTCATGTTTACCATGGTCGCAGGTGCCAGATGTCAGCATGGCTGGGTTTCCCTTGGGCTCCCCAAGCTCTGTGCCTGGTGTCCCGCACGCTTCTTGAGTGTGTGGACGTGAGCTCAGCACGTCCAAGGATCCATGTGCGCCGGTTGTGAGGGCGGGTGAGGGGTGTGACCTTCTGGTCCTGGCCTCCTTGGTTCAGTCAATCAGCCAACAGCTGCAGCGCTGCCCCAGGGGCCCCAGACCAGGGGGACTTGTGGGCAGGCTCAGGGGTGGGGGGAGGAAGGCCTGGGGCGCTTGGAGGCCCTGCCCTCCTAGGTCACGACCCCCAACCCCCCCATCCCCCACAGGACAACCATCTGGACCCACCGCGTCCGCTTCCTGGAAGAGTGGGCCCTGCCCCACTGGGCAACCTTCACCATCTGGAACGCGGGCCGGCAGGGCCGCCGGCTCTACCGCAGCCTGACGGCAGGGTCACGGTGCAAGGTGGGGCCCACCCCTTGTCCCACCCCTCCCCCATCCAGCAGCACTGCCCCCACTGCCCCTGAGGCTGGCGTCCTGGGTCCTCCCCAGGTGGTCGCCTTCTGCGACGTGGACGAGAACAAGATCAAGAAGGGCTTCTACTGCTACGAGGACTCTCAGGTGCGCCCCCTCCCCACTGAGCCCCATGGTCATGCACAGCAGCCGCCCACACTGCACTCTGGGGCACCGTCCCGGGCCTTTTGAGTAGACACTGCCCAGAACCTTCCTCCTTGGGAAAGGCCATCTGGGCCCAGACAGCTGCCAGGCCTGGCAGATGCAGCCCTCAGGCTCCTGGAGTTCCTGCCCCACCTGCTCCTGTCCCCACTGGAAGGTGCTCCTCGTAGGCTTGGGTCTGTCCGCTGCCCACTCAGGTTAGTTCTGCGGCAGCCATAGGTGGCCGGGTGGAGGTGCTGGAGACCAGGTCCAGCCCTGGGTCTGGCTGTGGTCCGGGCGCCTGTCTGAGGGCATCGAGCTGTGAGCGAGGCAGAGGTGGGGGGACTGGGGAGCAAGGTGGAGCAGCCTGTGGCCCTTCTCTCCTCTCAGGAAAGGCCCAAGCCCCGGGTCCCGGTCCTGCACTTCCGAGCCGCACAGCCACCCTTTGTCATCTGCGTGAAGCTGGTGAGTGTCAGGCTGCGGCATGTGTGGCTGGGACAGCCCCAGGGTCAGGAGGTGGTATGTTGTGTCCACCGGGAAGCTGCGGGCTAGGACGGGAGGTAATGACCGCCACTCTGGGGGGCCAGGAGAGTGAGCCGCGTGGGGGCGGGGACAGGAGACAACAGGGCCACCTCCAGCCAGGCCTGGGGTGTCAGGGGAGGTGGTGGCGATGGTGCCCCATGAGGCAGGTTGCATTTCCCATGAGAGCTGCAGGAGACGAGGCCGCCCAGAAGCACCTGCGCCGGCCCTACATCCCCCGATCCCCACCAAGTGACTGCCGTCCCAGGGCTTTTCTCCATCACCCCCTTGCCTTTTCTCCCTATTTGCGGCCACGCAGGACAGGTGCTCGTTTCTTGGCTCTGGGCCCAACGCTGGGGTCCTGCAGAGAGGCCCGTGTGCTTGAACTCCCTCCTTCCCTGAGTGGGTCCCGTTTCCTGGTGTGCAAGTTCCCACCACGAAGCCTGCTGGTGGGCTCTGGTGATGGGGGTGTTCTCCTGATTTTGGAGCCCTCACCCCCACCCTGCTGGCCTGTCCATCTCTTCTCCTTGGTTTCTGGGAGCTCTGTATTGAGTGGTGCTGGCCCTTGGTCGACTAGTGTTTAGCAGATGTTTTCTCCCAGTTGTGACTTTTCACAGGTTCTTCCCAGAAAAACTTAATTTTATTTATTTATTTATGCATGCATGCATGCAGCGCTGGGTCTTGGTTGAGGCCTGTGGGATCTTTTAGGTGCGGCATGCGAACTCTTAGTTGCGGCATGCCTGTGGGATCTAGCTCCCCGACCAGGCCCCCTGCATTGGGAGAGTGGAGTTTTACCCGCTGGACCACCAGGGAAGTCCCGTGAAAAAACTTATTTTTAACACAGTACATTTATCAATTTTTCTCTTGTGATGAACACTTTTAGTGTCCTCCTGTTTTGGAAATTCCTCCCCGTGGTCAGAAAGATTATCACAAATGGAAGTATAAAGTGTCCTTAATCCACCAGGACTACAGGGCCCAGGTTGGCTCATGTGGGGCGGGGCTGCCCCAAAGGGTCCTCAAGAGGGGATAGTAGTGGATGGATGAGCAGGTCCCTGTGCTGTGCCACTGGGGACATGGGATGACGCATAGTTGGGGACACAGGCCATTGCTTCCAGCAGTTTCCAGCCTCTGAGGTTGAAACCTTGGTAAACAGGGTGCCAGGCCAGAGGCCTTCCTGGAGGCAGTGGCTTTAGCGGAAGGGAAGCAGGTGCATGTTCATTTGCCAGCGTTCGCCAATAGCGAACCAAGCGGAACATGCCTCTCACCCCACATCAAGTGTAGACTCTCACCAAGCCTTGGGCTCAGGGAGCCTGCGGCCCCTACACACTTTCATAGCAAAGGTGGCCTGCTCCACGTGTATGTGGAGGGCGCCAGAGAAGGGGAGAGACCTTTGTTGGTGGCTGTTTTTAAGGTCCCATACCCGCTTCTGCACTGACTGGTGTTACTCACAGCTTCTAACTGCAGTTTGCCGTGTGGCCCAGGCGCCTCCACAGGGGCCCCACCAGGCCAGCATGTCCTGATGGGGAACATCACTGCCCTGAGGCTGTGCTCCCGTGGGGCCCGAGCTCAGACACGGGGGACAGCGGGCGTTGTAGCGTGTTGGTCAGGTGGGGTCCAATGCAGGACCGGAGAACAGCCTGGATGTCCCGATTCTACCCCTCGCTTGAGTTGCCACTTCGGAGAAGTCACCCAACTGTCGGGAAAACGGGCGTGAGAACAGGCTGACCCCAGGAGCCTGGCGCCAGGAGTGGCCTCAGGGTCCCAGCTGGTCCCTGAGTGGCCAGGCCCAGCCCTGAGCTCCAGCCACACAGAAACTGTGAGGCAGTAAAGGTGTGGTTTCCTCTGTTCAGTTGGTGGAGACTTTGCATGGCCACAGGTGAGCTGAACACTTGGACCAGAACAGAATCTAATGGGCGCGACAGGCTTTGTCAGTTTGAATGAGGCCGTGTGAAAATTCAGGTCAGATTTCCATGTGGACGTGTTTTCAGTTCTCTCAGACGCAGAGCTGGGGTGGAATCACTGGTCTTAGGGTGACTTATGCCCCCCCGCCCCCCGCTGCCCAAAGGTTCCAGTTTCTCGTATCCTTGCCTACTGCGTGACGTGTTTGTTCGTCACGGCCATCCTGGTGGATGAGTGGCTCTCACAACGGCTTCCGTTTGCGTCTCCCTGACAACGGAGGACGTGGAGCATCTGTTAGCCACTTGTCTGCCTCCTGTGGAGAAGTGTCTGTTCAGGTCCTTCACCCATTTTCTAATCGGGCTGTTTGTCTTTTTGTTGAGTCCTCAGAGTTCTCTATATTTCTAGACTCAAGTCCCCAACTGGATGCATTGGCAAATATTTTCTCCCATCCTGTGGGCTGTCTTTTCATTCTCTTGATGGTGTCCTTTGATGTACAAAAAGTGCTTAACTTTGACAAAGTCCATTTTATCTATTTGTAATTTGATTTCTCCTGTTTTGGGTGTCATGGCTAAGAGACCACCACCCAATCTAGGGTCATGAGGATTTACCCCTGTGCTTTTTTCTTAAGAGTTTTATGGTTTCAGCTCCTTCATGTAGGTCTTGGACCCATTTTGAGTTGATGTTTGTGCGTGGGGTCAGGTAGGGGCCAGCTTTGTGCTTTTGCAGGTGGCTGTACACTGAGTGTCCCAGGGCCAGGCAGCCAGGTGGCCCCACTCCCAACGTGTCACTTTGAGGTTTTCTTCTGACTGTCTGCCAGCTTGAACCTGCATTATTTAACCATCACTACATAACAAACTACAAACTTAGCCTCAAACAGCACGTTTACTATCTCACATTTCTGTGGGTCATAAGTCCAGGCACCACAGGTGGCTTTCAGCTTCAGGTGAGCATGGTGGTGTCTGCCGGTGATGATGTCTCAAGAGGCTCACCTGGGGCAGATCTGCTTCCAAACTCTCGTGGTCATTGGCAGGAGTCAGATCTCCAGGGTGTTGGCCAAGGGCCTCAGTGCTTTGCCGGCTGTTTGCTCTGCAGGCCCGCCAACCATGGCAGCTTATTCTGTGAAAGCCAGCAAGGGGCAGGGTCAGTAGCAAGACATATGTCACACTAACGTGTGACCTAATCACAGAAGTGACGTACCAGGGAAGGGGGTTCCACAGGATGTGGGTGTGATGAGGCAGGCTCGTGGCCATCTGGGGCCTGCCTGCCACAGGGACAGACCCACCTGGCTTTGGGTTTCCTGGTTTGAAAGCAGTTTCCTGAGAGGCCAAGACAATGTTCAAATTGCCAGGGGAATTGGATGAATGATTATGGGGCTGCAAGGGGCCGTTGTAAAATGAAAGTTTTAATTCTACACAAATGATACCTAGCTTTCCAGAGACAGGCTCTCTTAAGGGTCTACTTCTCAGGGACCCGAAGTTGCCACGAAGGGAACACCCCCACCCATGCAAACCCTTCCCAGAGAGCAGACTTTGGGTGGGAAGGAACCCAAACCTGTCACCCACTTTGTTTCCTTAGAGGGTCTAGAGGTAGAAACACAAAGGTGTATGTGATTTTTTTTTTAACAAACAGCAGCATGTTACACATACTTTTTTATTTCGCTTTTTTCACCTAATAGTATATCTTGGAGTTAATTCCATATAAATCCGCTGGCGCCACCCAACTCTGTTATCTTTTTATGAAGGAAACTTTCCAGCACGTTTCAGCCAAAGCAAAGAAGCCAGCCCCAAGCCCCAACTCCCCCAACCTGGGAGCGAGGCAGATTCTAGTCTCATTTCTTCATTATTGTTTCCTGAAAAGATTAAAAGCTAAAAAAACTACCATAATACCACTGTGTCACCCCAGATTTCCAGATATCCCATCAGTGTTGAAATCTAACTGCCTTGTAGACGTGTTCTATCTTTTCATACTTGCCTGTTGGAATGCAGACCCAGTGTGACCTTTGTCTCCCTCACTTTCTTACAATCTGTCTGTTGATGAAACCGGCTTGTGGTTTAATGTGTTTCCCAAGGCTCAGGTCCAGGGTCCGTTCTCCTCGCAGGAACACCTTCATCGCTGGCTGCAGGAGCTTCTGAGGGATTCATGTACCTCACTTAAAAAATATCTGCATCCCACTCGACTATATGGATGTTTCATACATTTATTATCCAGTTACTTGTCGATGTACCTTTAGGCCAGTTTTACTGTTCACCATTAGGAATAATGCTGCCGTGCGTATCTTTATATGTGCATAATTTTGCTCAAGTGGCTACACATATGGGATAAATGTCTGAAAGGTGCTGGTCAAAGAATGTGCCCACTATCAGTCGTGAGACCAGCCATTCTATCCCTGGAGGCTGAGCCAGTTCACACACCCTGCCCCCACCATGACCCTTCTCCAGCGGTGTGACCAAACCTTCCACCTTTGCAAACCACAGGTGAAAAACAATAAGTTTATGGTTCCAGTTGGCAATGTCATATTGTGAGTAAGGAGGGCATCTTTTCACGTATTTTTATTCATCTTTATTTCCCTTTTGGTACCTTATCCTTTTCATTGGCCCATTTCTCTATTGGTCTTTCAGTATTTTTCATACAGACAGTAACAGAAACAAACTACTGTCTGTGATGTGTTGCAGATTTTTCTGTGTCATTTAACTGAATTTATATCTTTTGCCATTTAGAAGTTTGTTATTTGGATATAATCAAATTAATTTTTCCTTTTATGGCTTTTGGGGGTTTTATTCATTCTAAGACAATCATTTCTCACTGTGATATTTAAAAACACATTATCCAAGTCTGGTCCTCAGACTCCTGTTTTTTCCTTATATTTTTGGTACAATTGGAATTTATTTTGTTATAAAGTTTATTGTAGGGATCCAGGCTTTTTTCATTCTATTTGGATCCTCAGTGGTCCTAACATCATTTGGTGAGAAACCCTCATCTTTTCAGTCAGGAAATGGCGTCTTTGTGTGTTGGGTACGCATGTGGATTTGGAGCTGTTTCTGGAGTCTTGGCCTTTCTCTATGCATCTGTCATGCACCATTACTGACTATAACTTTATGATGTTCACCACTGAGTAAGGCTAGTCTTCCTTCATTATTCTTTTCAGAACTTTTCTCACATTTTTCTTGTTTGAATAAAACTTTATTGTGAATTCTTAACACCTTCGGAAAATGGCCTAAGTGTGGCCCACCAGCTGCTTCTGTAAATAAAGTTTTACCAGAACACAGAGGACGTATGGCCACAAAGCCGTAAATGCTAACCATCTGCCCTTTAAGAAAACTCTGCGGCCTCTGTTCTAGAACCTGCTGCACAATTTAACGGGCGACATGCCCTCCCCCAGCGCCGCCCGATTCTGTACTTTCTCCGCTAATCCATTTGGTGCAGAGTGCATGTCTGCGGTCCATGTGACACAGTTGGCTGTGTTTCTGGGGGTCCGGTCTCCTCCACGTCATGCTTGAGGCCTGCTTTCCTCTTCCCATTGGTGCTTCGGGACCCAGCCGTGGGCATCACACCAGAGCTTCTCATGGAGGGTCCTGACGCTCTTTACG